CATTCATTTAAATATATAGAATTATAAGTATGTCATGGCAAGACAACTTTCTAACATGTTTTTTTTCTTAATGTAATTGTAACATTGATGACTCAAAGTGAGAAAAACAAACAGGTCAATTGGCACTGCTGTGATTGATGCAGTGGTGTCAATTTAGCGGGTCTGGTGAAGACCCGCTAAGTCGATGGCAGAGCGCTCTCCTGTCAACTCTGGTACTTACGTTATTCTTGTAACAGAAGTAGCATAACTTAGGTTGACTTACCATGGTAGTGTAGACAAGGCCTAAGGCAAAGTACCTGCCATTGCGCTCTCTGTGTATTTCTACTAGGATAATACTCAAAATTGGTGGGGTCTGAATAAAGGTAAGCAGGAAACTTTGTTTTTATGCTTCCTTTCCAAAAAAAGGTCCATCCTCGGATATTGTGTGTGACAAAGATATCCCACGTGCAGTGTGAAATAATGACTAATAGAGACAGTTTAGCCCAGAGAGAGCAGCATAATCATGAATCAGATTTGTCCAATTTTTTTATATACATATAAAAAATATATATAAAAATATATTAGGGCTGTCAGCGATTAAAAAAATTAATCGTTATTAAAAAGATTAATTGCGTGATTAATTGCGCTGTTAAACAATAATAGAATACCATTTATTTAAATATTGTGGATGTTTTCGAAATTTTCAAATATATTTATTTCACTTACAACACAGAGCACAAAGTGTACAGTGCTCACTTTATATTTATTTTTGATTACAAATATTTGTGCTATAAAAAACAAAAAGAAATAGTATTTTTCAATTCACCTCATACAAGTACTGTAGTGCAATCTCTTTATCATGAAAGTTGAACTTACAAATGTAGAATTATATACAAAAAAACTGCATTCAAAAATAAAACAATGTAAAATTTTAGAGCCTACAAGTCCTCTCAGTCCTATTTCTTGTTCAGTCAATCGTTCAGACAAACAAGTTTGTTGACATTTGCAGGAGATAATGCTGCCCGCTTCTTGTTTACAATGTCACCTGAAAATGAGAACAGGTGTTCACATGGCACTGTTGTAGCTGGCGTTGCAAAATATTTACGTGCCAGATACGCTAAAGATTCATATGCCCCTTCATGCTTCAACCATAATTCCAGAGGACATGTGTCCATTCCGATGATTGTGTGACAGGTTGGACCTCCCCGTCCGGGATGCCACCTGATGTACTGGGGTTTCACTAAGCCTCTGCTGCTCCACCAGCCTGGATTCCCTCTCCCTGTTTTGCTGAATTAGGCTCCCCGGCTTCTTGCAGCACATACACACAGGTAGGGCCACACCCAGCTACAGACACAGACTGAAGTCAGCTCTGTGTGAGAGGACTCACCCAGCACTCACGTGCACACCCCCTTTGGGAGATAAACCCTAAATAATACTGTCTTGTGCGGTAAAGAAAGATCTGCACAGCGCAAGCTCATAAAAATTCTCCCTCTCCCTCAATGTGGAGAGAGAGATGCATAGCTTCTCCCCTCCCCTCCCCCCCAGATATGAATTGCACAAGCTGGGTTATGTTATAAACAAGAAATAAGTTTATTAACTACAAAAGGTAAATTTTAAGTGATTATAAGGGATAGCAAACAGATCAAAGCAGATTGCTGATAAATAAAAAATGCAAACTGAGCTTAACACACTAGATAGGTAAGATATAAATTAGCAAATTCTCAACCTGAGTGATAAACGGGGTGGCAGATTCTTAAGGCACAAGTTGCCTTGGCTTTCCCAGGTTTTCATACACAGGCTAAAAATTCTTCTAGCCTTGGACCATCACTTCCCACAGTTCAGTCTTTGTTTCCTCCTCAGGTGTTTCCAGGTGTGTTGCTTTAGAGAGAGTGAGGTCCCCTCATAATGTCGTTTCCCCCCTTTTATATCTTCTCCCTGCCTTCTGGAAAGCTCTTTTGCTGTGACCTGGATCAAACAGTTCCCATTGTGTAGTGCTATATCTCAGGTGTTTCTATTGTACACAGTTCCTGGGGTAATCCTTGTGCTTGTGTGCATTTCCTCAATAAGCCATTAACATTGTTTGGCCTTTTTACTGTCATACCTGAAAGGCTACTTATGGGTGTTTACAACCTCCGGACATGTTTCAGCAGCACATATATAGCCAAACTTCATAACTTCACACACAACGATAGCACATACAATCCAACGAGATATTACTGTCTAGCAGATCAAGACTTTTAGAATGGCACCTCACAAGGCATACTTTATATAAGACATATCCTAATTACATGACAGTGGTGAATATTGAGGTGTCAAGGTGTAACAGGTGGGTTGTGCTCGATAACGATCCAAAGCAGTGCAGACCGACGCATGTTCATTTTCATCATCTGAGTCAGATGCCACCAGCAGACGATTGATTTTCTTTTCTGGCGGTTCGGGTTCTGTAGTTTCCACATCAGAGTGTTGTTCTTTTAAGACTTCTGAAAGCATGCTCCATACCTCATCCCTCTCAGATTTTGGAAGACACTTCAGATTCTTAAACCTTGGGTTGAGTGCTGTAACTATCTTTAGAAATCTCACATTGGTATCTTCTTCGCGTTTTGTCAAATCTGCAGTGAAAGGTGTTCTTAAAACGAACAACATGTGCTAGGTCATAATCCGAGACTGCTATAACATGAAATATATGGCAGAAAGCAGGTAAAACAGAGCAGGAGACATACTATTCTCCCCCAAGGAGTTCAGTCACAAATTTAATTAACACAATATTTTTCTAACGAGCATCATCAACATGGAAACATGTCGTCTGGAATGGTGGCCAAAGCATAAAGGGGCATATGAATGTTTAGCATATCTGGCACATAAATACCTTGCAATGCTGGCTACAAAAGTGCCATGCAAACGCCTGTTCTCACTTTCAGGTGACATTGTAAATAAGAAGCCAGGAGTATTATCTCCCGTAAATGTAAACAAACTTGTTTCTCTTAGTGATTCGCTGAACAAGAACTAGGACACTTGTAGGCTCTAAAGTTTTACATTGTTTTATTTTTGAATGCACTTATGTAACAAAAAAAATCTACATTTGTAGGTTGCACTTTCACAATAAAGAGATTGCATAACAGTATTGTATGAATTGAACTGAAAAATACTATTTCTTTTGTTTATCATTTTTACAGTGCAAATATTTGTAATAAAAATAATAATATAAAGTGAGCATTGTATACTTTGTATTCTGTGTTGTAATTGAAATCAATATGTTTGAAAATGTAGAAAAAATCCAAAAAATATATAATACATTTCAATTGGTATTCTATTGTTGAACAGTGCGATTAAAACTGCGATTAATGAAAAAAAATTTGAGTTAATTGCGTGTTAACTGCGATTAATTGACAGCCCTTATATATATATGTTTACCAATAGATTTATAACCAGTTACACTACTTTTGGGGGTCCTGTTAGCTCTACAAAGCAGAACATTCCCTGTAGATTAGTACTAGATGAATAATCTTGTTTTCAGATGGTTATGCATTCTAAACTCCAAGTCTCCAGGACAATATTAGGAAATGATCTGGTTCCAGAATACAAAGTTTTAAAACAGTTAATATTTTAGTAGAAACTTTTGATAGTCAAAATTCCTTTTCTAGACTGTAGTTCCCCAACAACAAGAGCACCTGAACTCGAGAGGTGCTGAGCACAGAAATTCCCATTGCTTAGCTTGAGCTATTTACTGCCAGATTATAAGGAAACATGAAGAGGCAAATGTGATTTTTTTTTTTTTCATTTGAAAATATTGCTGGTGCAGCAAGTCTAGCTGGTAGTCTTCTCCACTATCATTCAAGAAGCTGGAGTTTGATTCCTGATACTATCTTTCACTCCTATCTGCAGGGCATCACGGTTGTATAGGAAATGCATTCAACTTCTGAATGTGAGCATCTGATGTCACTGAGCAGTGATTCTTTTAGATTATTTAAAGAGTGATATTTCAGAGGGAGTATCATCCAGTTATCAGCCAGAAGGATAACTGGCTTGGAAATGGGGAAGATAAAAGTAAAGGAAAATCTGGAGAAACTCAGGATTTTGGCACGTGGAAGTTAAAGACTCTTTCCAGACTGATGGACCCTTGTCTATTTGAAAAGCCCATATAATTCTTTGTAAATTGTTAGTGTATTAGCCCTCATAGGCAAGTCTAAATAACAAACTATATGTGATATAGAGGAAAATATAATTAAAGAAAATCTCCAGCTTAGATTCACAGTGATCATAAACAGTATAGGATGAAAAAGGGATTATTTTCAAAATTATGAAACATACTTTGACAATGTCCTTGTAACTTTCAATATTTTGAAGACTTATTTATTTAACTCATCCAACTTGTCTCTTAAGTTAATATCTCCTATTGGACTTACTTCTGTTGGTGAAAGAGACAAGCTTTCAAGCTACACAGGCTCTTCTTCAGGTCTGCTTGAACCATCGTTACTTACTTAGCTATCATTCCAATATAAAGCAATGTCCCATTTACGCAAGTTAACTTTGGCCTAACATGAGTATAGCTAGATGTGGGATACTAGATGCTCATTGCAGATGAACCAAATTTGATGTTAGGGGGAAATATATCAAACTTTGCAAATACTTTGGAAAATGGAGACTAAGCCTAATATGAAATAGCTTTTGTGAAAGTGGTGTCTGTTAAAGCAGCCAAAGATAGCTATACTGTTTATGCAGAAAAACTTCTGTGCTTTTAAATTGAAAATTAGGATCACACTATCTATAGTCTAGCATTTTGATGGAGCAGACATTCTATGGTTTAACTCAGCTGCAAAATGTCTTAAATAAAAATACTAGGAAAAGAACCTGCATAAATGGATCCATAAGGAGGGTAGGTAAGACAGTGGGCTTTAAGTACATATTTGTTATCAGCATTCACAGGGTTATTACTTTGTCATTATATTTTACCTTACTGTCCTTTAAACATTCTTGTTTTACTGTAGTCAATGTCTTTTTTCCCTTCTATTTATATTTTGTAGATTCACAACCAGTATCCAACAGAGTTTGAATTCAATCAATATTTCTTGAAGTTCTTAGCTTTCCACTACGTTTCAAATAGATTTAAAACATTTCTTCTGGATTCAGACTATGAAAGACTAGAACATGGTATGTGTAGAAGAATGTGGTTGATGCTCATTCATTTTTTTCATTTCTTTATTATTTTACACTTTTGCCTTTAATTAATATTTAGTTCACAGGAGTCTTGCCATTGTGAGATGGTGCTAATGATTACATTGCAACCAACTAGAAACATAGAAAAACTTACCATGTGCGATATAAGTGCCTGAGGTGTACTGGAATTAATTCTGCGTACAGAGTCATTGGCAGTTATATTTGGTGAATGAATAGTTCCTGAACCATGCTAAAAGGGAAAGAATAAAAGGGTAAGAGAAATGGAAAGAATAGTTATAATTGCCAGAACCTTGCTTCACTTTCCAGTCCACTCACTTAATACAATTTCCCCTTCCATCTGCCTGCTCTCTAAAGAACTTTTGTTTTTTATTGTATTTATTTTTTAATTACAGAAAAGAGGTCCTGGGATTCATGAGATTGTATGGCATTTCCATAAAGGAGAGCCTTTTTCCCCTTCCTCGTGAACGCCTGTGTTTTTCTTTTACTTTCTTCCTCTATCTCTTGCAGGCTAACTTGCTTCATCTAAGGCCCCACCTCCCTTCTGCATTCTCAGCCCTACCTCTGTCAGACTGATCACTCAGTCACATCCACCTTTCTCAGGCTTGTCTCTGAGCATATGCAAGAAGCAAAGGGGTAGTGCAAACTCTGAAATGAACAGTTTTCACAGAGAAATCAGGTTTTTCATGGCAAGCAGTCAATTTAATGCGTTCTGTAAAAGTCCAAACGACCATGAAATTAATCCAGGCACTGAGCAACCATTCTATTTCTGCACAAAATACTGATTTGTATGTTTTTTAACTATGATAAAATGACACTAGTTTATGAGACTCCCAACAGGGTGGTGATGCTTTCAAATATCACCACGCCAAGAAGGAAATAGTGGCTTCAGTGAAGTCAATGACAAAACTACCGTTGACTTCAGTGGAGCCTGGATTTCACCCCAAGTCTCTGCTCTCAGACTTGTACTTCCCAGTCCACATTTCAGGTGGTGATATTTCACAATAGAACAACAATGTATCACAAGTTATTGAATAATTATAACATTTTTAATGTGTATATATAGTACACTAAGTGTCAGCTAAAGTGCAAAAACAAAAAGTAAATTTAGAACAAACCTTCTCATTAACAACACCTCAAGTACTGCAGTAGGCTTCAGAATAAGAATGCAAATGTCGCATTATAGAATGTTTATTTTCATATCAAGTTGGTGTTCAGGCAGCAAGAATGGCAATTATACTGCACCACATAAAATTCTTTAATGTTATTTTCATCAGTTCAGACCTCTTAAGTATTGGGCATTTTTGCAATGTTTTCATTCCTTGATAAATGTCATAAAACAAAATCCTTCTGATTATGCTTTACCATTTGTTACATGTCACTATAAATCCTTCTTTTACCTTTTTTTCCTATAGGGACATTGTTTGAAGATAAAGGAGACAGGCATGCCAAAAAGGGAATCTGTATTTGGGAATGTATTGAAAAAATGCACAAAAGGAGCCCCATTTTCTTCAATTACCTATATGCACCTGTTGAAACAGAGGTATGATATAGAAACTTCTTTGTTGTTTGTTATTCTGAATGATTCTCTAAGCAGTTTGCCACTTGTTGAATTGGTCTAGACCAGTTTCAGACATTTATTATGCTAAGTAACCCTGCTGAAGAAATGTTAAGAAATATTAATAGATCATTGCAATTTCTCACTAGTTTATATCACTAGTCATGCAAATTATTTAAGACTCATATTGGTAAATTGTAAAGGGGAAAGTCCTAGAACATTTACTCATCCACGTGTGTCCCACTGACATAAAGAAGACTACTTAGGTGCATGACATAAGATTAATTATGTGAGTAATGATTACAGGAGCAGTCTTAACATTTGCACATGACCATAAAAAGTAAATCTAAATAAAAATTATGAGGAAACAAGTTAAAAGTAAATATAAGTTACATTGGTAGTGAGACACGTTTCATAAGATCCTGATACATTGCATTGCATTTCATGTCATATTGCCGGATAGGATCATATATTGATCACATTTAGCTGTATCTTGAATAATTTTATAGTGTCAATATTTATCATGTACCATGACCCATATCTCTTCTAGTTAGAATTATTTTCTAAGTATAAAGTACTGTGTCATGAACAATACTTGTCCATTTTAAATTAAAACATTGAGTAAAATATTAAAGGTATGCATGGCAGCATACAGATTAATAATATTGATGCATTGCTTTCCACATTTAATGCTATTTATAAACTAGTCTAATCTTTGATCAACAAAACATGTATAAATATTTCAATTGGGGAATCATATCTGTTTCATTGTCACTACATGTGTTCTATCGTTATAAAATTAGCACCTCTGATCAGTTAGTGTTGGCAAAGGGAGATTTTCCCCTGTTCAGCTAAATGAATCGTCGTCATGATGCAGAACCTGGACTGCGGGTTGCTTTTAAAATAGGGGGAATGGGAGAGGGTATCAGGGTTCCAACTGAGACATAAAGGAATTGTACGTATGTAAGTATGTACGTACGTACATACAGTGTGCCTCCGTTTTATTATCTTGTTAGCTTAAAAGATGGACAGATAAGAATGGCTCATTCTTCCCCATGTGTATTCCACTGTTGATGTGCATGTGTCCCATGCACTCAATTTCAGATTCTTTTGGCCAGCAGCATCCATTGGAGCTGCACCTTTGCCCTGAGTATCCTTGTGCCTCCCACCTGAGGACATAAAGGGCAAGGTGACCCTAACTGTCCCTCAGATCCTTCACCAGTAAAAAATGCAAGTGTTAAAAGATTCCACAATAGTGGGAAGGGCAGATCATGGAATACATATGGACAACACATCTCAAAGAACCGTAGTTATTGTAAGGTAAGTAATCGTTTCTTCTGTGAGTGCTTGTTCCTTCTCACCACCTGTGGCTACAAGTTGGAATGTGCAGTATCGGAGGATCTCACACACTGTGCAATCTACCCATTGTATTGTAAACAGACAGCTACTTCACAATTTGTTAGCTGGTAAAACCTAAGAGGATAAGGGGAGAAAAGAGCACCAAGCCCACAAAGGAAAATGATCCAGGTCTCCGTTATCAGATCCTTCCATGAGAAACCAGAAATCCCCTCAAATTTTCTTGGAAAAAGGCCCAGTGAGGGTTCCTTGGCACCCATCACTGTGTGTCAAGACCAGGTTCCTCAGTACTTCAAAAATTACCCATTACCAACCCTTTGTCCCTGAGGGCCCCAGTGCCAATAGCCCCAGTACCAACACTGTCCATACACTTACCCCTGGCTCCAGCATACTCAGTTCCAAGGGACCTTATGGTTTCCTCATTATTGGACTCACCATTATTATTAGTACAGAAGGTACTTCCTCCACAACCAGCTGCCATCCCCATTCTGGTACTGAGCACATCAGCAGAACGAATCAGAGTGCAGTCTGGTGATGCTCCCAGCATTCCATCTGGCACTGTTGCAACCCTGCAAAAGAAGCACTTCTTCTCTTTCCCAGGCTCTGAGAATAGCAGGAGGCATTACCAGTTCAGTACCTGGGGTCTTGCTATTCAGATCCATACGCTTCAGAGAGGGAGTCTAGGACTCATTATTAATGTCCCAGACACAGAACTCTAAGAGGGATGCAACCTAGTCCAGGGCTAGATCACCTTCTCCCCCACCTCACAAAGGGGCACTACAGCCAACCATGACTACAGTGCTGCTGACTGGACAGACTGGTCAGAGCTCTGATGGGGACTTGCTGGCAGAGGACCCCCCCCCATACAAGCACCTATCTCGTTGTTGTATCTGGCGGAGGCTATGGTAGCCACATCTACCTCACTCCCAGACAACTTCAAAGCATTCCATGACTTGCTCTGTAGGCTGGTTGATACACTGGAGATTCCAGTGGTAGTTATCCGGAAGACATCACGCAAACTCCAAGGGCATCCCACACACCTCTGTGGCCTGGATGTCTTGTAATGCCCATGAATGAGAGGCTCTTAGAACAGGCAGTTACTCTGACAGATGCCTGCTTCTTTGTCACCAACATCAAAAACAATAAATCATTGCTGCTAAGTGCCTTCCTAAGGCTTTGAGCAATTTTACATACGTCCTACAACAGGATCTCTGGTTGTTGCAATGGCTAATGAAAAACACAGAGTCAGCAAAAATTTACACCTCAAGACAGATACAAGAAATTCAGTTTATTTGGCTGAAAATATTATTTATCATCAAGGCTACAAATGAGAGGTACAAGTTACAATTGAGGATCTTCCATTTGAAGGATGCAAACTTTTTAATATAAAGATTAATGAGGCTTGTATGCTCTGTGAAAGGACTCTCAAGTGATGCTGCAGTTCCTAAGAGTCTATACTCATGCACCAAAGAGAGAGTTCTTTAAGCCTCAACCGCATCAAAGGCAGCCAATACTGTACTCGTTATCGACAGCCTGAACCATCCAGGAAGCAACAGAAATGTAAGAAGAGGAAATCATGTGCCTTTACTACCACATCTTCTCACCAGCCCTGGTCATCATCAAAGCAGCAGATTTGGCTCCTTGGTTGGGGGGGCAGTGTACAGTTCTCTTGGATTTCCCGCTTATATCCCCTCCATTTGTTTTATTTTTGTGGGGTCTGGAACATCATTACAGACTGTTGCGTCATGGAAATCATAGAGGTGGACTACTCGATCCAATTCCAGACACTCCCCACACACCACCTATTTTCCCCATCACTTTTCAGGAACCCATCTCATGACAGCATGCTACATCTGGAGGTGCAGTCACTTCTGAGGATATGTCGACCCTGGTGCTGGAGATATAATTTCGAGCTCAGGTATATATACCTGTGCTATCTCTGATCAAGGTAGCATTCTAAAAATAGTAGTGTAGCCATGGTTGCACAGGCAGCAGGACAAGCCAACCGATCCAAGTACCTACTTAGAGTTTCAGACAGAATTGTACTTGGGGTAGCTAGCCCATCACACTGCTCATGCAGCCACAGCTACATTGCTATTTTAGAGTGCTAGCTTGGCACAGTTACCATAGATATATCTTCCTTAGCTGGCCATTATGCCTTCAGCTCCAGTGTAAAAACACCCCAAATCTCAGAACAGTGGAAATAGTGCTTCCAGAATACAGAGGATAACGGGGTTTATTCCCATTACTTTCTAATTCTTGAGAAGAAGAGTGGATGGCACCTTATTGGACTTGAGACAACTGAACACCTTCATTCACAAGCTCAAGTTCAGGATGGTAACCCTGGCCTCGATAATTTCCACCTTAGATCCACCTGACTGGTATTCAGCTCTCAACTTCCAGGATGCTTATTTTCATATAGTAATTCATCCTACCTACAGAAAATATCTTAGTTTTCAGATAAGCAATTCCTACTACCAATACAGGGTCCTATCATTCACCCTATGGAGAGTGGCAGCGGCATAGGCACTGATTCCGTGGGTGCTCCAGGCCTGCACCCACCGGTAGCCCGCTCCCACCTCCTCCTCCTCAGCACTTCCCACCTGCCGGCGGCCCCGCCGATCAACTCCTCCTCCTCCCTCCCAGCGCCTCCCGCCCACCACGCTCAGCTGTTCCACGCCAGGCAAAAGGTGCTTGGGGGGAGGAGCGGGGACAGGGTGTGCTCGGGGGAGGGGGCGGAATTGGGAAGGAAGAGGCGAGGCAGGGGCAGGAAGAGGCAGAGTGGGGGTGGGGGGCTGGGTGAAGGAGTGGAGTTGGGGGCAGGGCCTGGAGTGGAGCAGGGGTTGAGCACCCCCGGGGCAAGGAGGAAGCCAGCACCTGTGGCCAGCCATATTCACGAAAGCTCAGATTTTAAAAAGTATTTAGGCATTGGTCTGCTCAGTGTTCCAATGCCTAAGTGACTTAGGAGCCTAAATGTCATTGAACATCAATGAGACTTAGGGTCCTAAGTGAAACTTTTTTTGAAAATGAAACTTAGGTTTCTAAGTCAGACAGATATTGCAATGCCTAAATACCTTTAGAAATCTGGGCCAACATTCCTAGTAGTAGTGACAGCTTATCTCAGGAAACAGAGTCTGGGTTCATCCATACTTAGAGGACTTGCTCATTTGCAGGAAGTCTCAAGAACAGATGACTGACTCCATACAGCAAACTCTGCACCTTTTTGCCTCTTTAGGACTAAAAGAAAGCAAAGAGATGTCCGTATTGGTTCCTATTGAAATGATAGCATTAATAGGGGCAGTTGTGGACTCCACAACAGCAATGACCTATCTGCCACTCGAAGGATTCCAAGCCATAGGAGATCTGGCCAACCACCTGCTAGCTCAACACAAGATATCTAAGAATTTGTCTGACTCCTAGGGCTCATGGCCTCCTGCACATATGTAACTCAGCATGCCAGACTACACCTACGTTGCAGGTAAGGATGGTTAAAGTTGGTACATCAGCCCAACAAACATCACTTGGATATGAGAATGCAGGTCCTGCCAGGACTCCTGTAATAGGTCCCTCATTGCCATCAAATACTCTGGTGGCAGATATCTCCACTGGTGGGAAGGGAAGCCCATTTAGACAACTTTCAATCTATCGACTCCTCAAAAAACCCAGCTTCACATAAACATTTGAGGACTAAGGTTTGTTTAGCATGCACAGTTTTCCTCTCTGTTCTGAAGTGTCTAACAATTCAGATCATGACAGATGAAGCCATACCAGTGTATTACATAAACAAACAAGAGGTGCAAGATCCACCACTCTATGGGCAAGTCTACACTACAGTGCTACATTCGCGCAGCTGTACCAATGCAGCTGCGCCGCTGTAGTGCATCTGGTGAAGACGCGCTATGCTGACGGGAGAGAGCTCTTCTGTCGAGATAATTATTCCACCTCGGCGAGAAGGGGAAGCTATGTTGGCGGGAGAGTCTCCTGCTGATACAGCACAGGCATGGACAACACGAAACTTGCATCACTTCGGGGGAGAGGGGAGTATCTTTTTCACACCTCTGAGCAATGTAAGTTAGATCAACTTAAGCGATAATGTAGACTTGCTCTATGTCAAGAAACAGCAAATCCATGGAATTACAAGATTACTCCAATAGCTTTACACCTACCAGGGTTGCAAAATATGCTGATGGATCACCTCAGCAGACAGTTGCCAGTGACCATGAGTGGTCAGTAAAGGATACTGTTATCCAAGACATATTGATCAAGTAGGGTCATCCAACCATAGGCCTCTTTGCCACCAATGAAAGAAAAAGTGCCACAAGTTCTTGTCCAGAGGAGGGCAAAGTCAAGGATATCTGTCCAACTCATTCCTGATCCACTGATTCTCAGGCCTCATATATGTTTATCCGCCAATTCCATTGATCCTAAGAGTTCTCAGGAACTTCAGGCAAGACTTAGCCAGGATGATCATCATAATAACACGAGCATGGCAAAGGCAGTTCCAGTTCTCAGACCTAATGAATCTCTTCATTCAACTTCCAAGTCAGTTGCCTCTGCCCCCAGATGTGGTATGCCAGGCTGAGGACAGAGTTTCCATCCAGATCCCTCTTTCTTGCATTGCATGGCATGAATACTGGCTGGTTAACATAAGTAGGGCAAACCTATTCAACTGAGATACAAAACAATCTTATCCGCAGTAGAAATGACTCTGTGAGGCTTACCTGCTCAGTCAAGGAAAGAGATTCACTTTCTGGGCTCAACAATACCAGTTGTCTCCACTGAACACCCAGATACCTGACATACTAAATTACCTTCTGCCCTTAAAGAGCTCTGAACTATCTCTGATCTCCCTGAGGATCCATTTAGCAGCCATCTCAGCAGTCCACCCTCCAACACAGAGATATTTGACATTTTCACACCCTACAGTAGCTAGATTCCTGAATGGCCTTATGCGGGTATATCCCTTTTTAAGTTGCAATAATATTTGCTAGAAGGATAGGGGAGCTGTCAGATCTCATGTCCAGACCTTCATACAGTTTTTCATAAAAATGGAGTCACCTTGAGACCTAAACCAAAATTCTTGCTGAATTGTCCTTCTACATGACTAGGACTAAGCCATTTAGGGTATCCCCCAGATTATTTGTAGTTTATGATGACAGGTCAGGCAGTCTCAATGCAGAGACATTTCTAAATATATTGTGCTATGAAATAGCCAACTTAGGACCCACTCCACAAGAGCTCAAGTAATGCAGCATTACCCACAGTAGAAGCATCGATATCTGATGTCCATTTCAGCTACCTGACAACAATGATTGTCAGCCCTCTAGATGTCCATTTTAGTAGGGTTGTCTGACAATCATTGTTTAGGTAAGACTCCTAGCATCCACCTCCTGTGATCTAGGTCACTGCTTGCTAGTCACCAATAGTAAAATATATATGTGGACAAGCACTCAGAGAAGAAGAAATGGTTATTTATCTTACAGTAACTGTGGTTCTTTGATACGAGTTGTCCACATATATACAACCAGCCCTCCTTTTCTGCCACTACACTATAATATCTAAGGGTACGTCTACACTACGAGATTAATTCGAATTTAGATAATTCGAATTTGGGAAACAGATTGTATAAATTCAATTGTGCGCGGCCACACTAAGCACATTAATTCGGTTTTTAACCACATTAATTCGGTGGTGTGCGGCCACACTACCCCATTAATTTTAACCACATTAATTTGGTGGTGTGCGGCCACACTACCCCTAATTCGAATTTACAAAATCGATTTTGGTGCTACTCCGCTCGTCGGGGTGGAGTACAGAAATCGATTTTAAGCGCCCTTTAATTCGAAGTAACTGGCTCCGTTGTGTGGACGGGTTAAGGATTAATTCGGATTAACGCAGCTAAATCCGAATTAAAGTCGTAGTGTAGACCAGGCCTTAATTGTGTTTTGGCGAAGGAACTGAGGGACATTTGGGTTGCCACACCCTTTATGCCCTCAGGTGGGAGGCACTAAAACACTTGGAGTGCAGGCCTGGCCACAATGGACACTGCTGGCCAAAAGAATCAGAACTCAAGAGTATGGGGCATATGAACACCACCAGTGGCTTATATATGGACAACATATTTTGAAGAAGTACAGTTACTGTGAGGTAACTATTTATTTTCCTTGATCTGACATCTTTTATGGAGTTGTATCCCACAGTCATGCACTGAAAATTGTAATTCCAGATCAACACACACCAGTTGCAGTGCTACATTAAATTCAGGAGGATAGTCTGCAAAATGTAAAATATTGGATTTGTGTTGAAACTGAAAATTTCCATGTGACACTAATTTATTGGGCTTTGTTTCAAACAGGCATTAAAACCAAGTGTAAATATGTCCAGCCTGAAAACGTGGGATTACTATATGGAAGAGACCTTGGCCACAGGTCCTTCCTATGATTGGACCATGGTTACTGCAAAATGCAACACTTCAGAGGAAGTTGACCAAATGGATGGTTCATTTCCCCAAAGTAGGAGGAAAATAGTGTGGCCATGCTATGATGATGTTAGCAAAGTGCAACCTGATGCAATCACGAGCCTCTTAAATGTAAGTATAGATGCTAACAAAGACAGAACACTGCAGTTTATTACACTTATCAGATTCATAGCCATTCAAGTCATTGCCTTATAGATGTGCTGTAAAAGTAAATATTAGGTAAAAAATAATTGGTTTAATCTCCAAAGAGATATGGGGTCAGAAAGTCAGTCAAACGTCTTACAAAAGGTTATGCTGTTCTGGATGAATTCAATTCTGTAAATAGGTTTTAATACTTACCTTTTTTACATTGTGAACTGCAGCCAATAATGAGGCAATTTAGGTATAGCTTACTTTTTATTCCTTAAAAGCAAGGCCTTAATACATTTTTTCACTTTCCTTTTTAAATAAAAAAATAACTTGTATAATAGATTTTCTAGCTATCTTTTCCCAGAGTTTTCAAAATTGTAACCTCATATTTTGCAAGGAATGTTATCTCATTTGGGGCAAACTCTGGATTCTTTCTGGATTGCAGCAGTACATTACCCCCCTGTTCTTGTCCCTGTTCACCATATAGTTTAAAGCAAATGAAGTATAAGGTGTCCAGATCTCTATGCCTAGCTCATAGCATGTCCATTAGTCCCAGCTTCTGAGTGGGTCTCCTCTTTATAGAATCTGGAGGCAGCTAAAAAATGGTGTTTAGCAACTATGTGTAGTAGGCCTCATCCCTTCCTTTTGGCTCCCAGAAGGTTGCCTCCAACAACATAGAAGACCCCTCAGAATTGGGCTCTAAACAAAAAGTTTTAAATTATAACCAACAGATTGCCAAGCCCCTTGGGCAAATGGCCCAAACTGTTCTCTGTCTTTCCCCAGCCCAGCACTGATAAGGAAGACAATACAAAAAGTAGAACAAGCAGAAGTAATAATAGGGTTGCCAACTTTCTAATCACACAAAACCGAACACCCCTGCCCCACCCCTTGCCCTGTCCCAAGGCCCTGCCCCCCAATAGCTCCATCTCCCTCCCTTTGTCGCTCGCTCTCCCCCACCCTCACTCACTTTCAACAGGCTGGAGCAGGGGGGTGAGGGCTTTGGCTGGGGTGCAGGCTCTGAGGTGGGGCTAGGAATGAGGGGTGCAGGGTGCAGGAGGGGGCTCCTAACTGGAAGCTACCAAGAAAGGTGTTATTCCCAAATTTCACAACAAAAACATGTTATTACAGTTTGGAATCTAAATCAAATAAGTCTTTGTTTCGGTTCCCCCTTTTAATACACTTGGATATCACTTCTTATAAACCATGTTATGTAAATGTTGGCAATGTTTAATGCTAATGTCACAGCATTGGATTTGCTCTTTTTAAATAGTTTTATAAAATATATCCAATCCTTATCATTATCATATTTCTTATATGGCAAGTGGAAATGGAATTTGTGTGTTCAAGATGCAAGCAGCCTGAAATGTATATCCTCAGGAAAACACTTTTTTATTGATTTCAGGAAATCGAAAGACTGGAGAATAAATTAAATCAGAGCCCAGAAAGGTGGCAGCTCTTGTGGGAAAGGGTCACCGTAAATCTTAAAGATGACACAAGACAAGACAATGTAAGTGGTGGAAGGGTCCAATTGACCACCTGACATGCTCAGGGTCCAATTGACCACCATATTTGACATCGGGAAGGAATTTTCCCCCAGGTCAGATTGGCAGAGACCTTGGAGGTTTTTCGTCTTCCTCTGCAGAATGGGGCATGGGTCACTTGCAGGTTTAAATTAGAGTAAATGGTGGATTCTCTGTAACTTGAAGTCTTCTAATCATGATTTAAGGACTTCAGTAACTCAACGAGAAGTTCTGGGTCTAATCTATTACAGGAGTGGGTGGGCAATGTTCTGTGGCCTGCAATGTGTAGTCAGACTAGATGTTCATGATGGTCTGTTTTGGTATGATGGTCTGTTAGTCTAGGAGTCTAATAATAATTCAATCTCAGCTATATAGGCTATCTGGGAGAGTGACAAAATCACTGTATTTGTTGGAATAAAGTATTGCTTTCTAAAAAACAGAATGTATTGTTCTAAACTATGCTACTGGCTTTGCATTGCTGCATGTGGAAAAATATGTATTCCTATGACATTTACTTCTTTTGTATCTTGAAGTAGATTGATAAATATAGAGCAAGATAAGCATTTTAATAATACACAGTGGTATAAAATTAGATATTTATAAAGCTTCCTGGGGCCTGATCCTGCAAACCATTTACACATGTGAGTAACTTTGCTTATGGGAGTAGTTCAATGGACGTCAATGGGATCATTCAGATGTGAAAATTCAATTTTGGATCCACACTTTATAATCAGGCCTTCAATACTCTGGGCCTAATCTTTTACAACAACTGGTTATTTACACAAGGTGAGGAACTGATCCTCTGTGTATTATACATTCCTGAGCATATTTTTAGGGTTTAGCAAATAATAAAAGCCAGGTCAAGCAGTGGCAAATATATTTTAGATGGAAATGTTGAATATTTGGGTGGGAATATTGAATATAAATATAAATTGTAGATAGTTAAGCATTTTATCCACCATACAAAATTTCATTTACTATAGACCTACTGTTACTTTCAATCACTGCTTATATTTCATGTTGCGTATCTGCTGTTCAAGAGCATAACAGAATCTGAAAATCAGGTTCTTTCTTTAGATAATGTTTAGCATATCACGTTAGCATAACACTACAAAATCTTTCTCTGTAAAGATACCATCCACCAGATTCTCAGTTTTGATTCTTAGATCTTTGGTGCAAGACTAGTGGATCTCCCACTGCTCCCAAAGTATTTTTCCCTGAGGGCAGCTGGAACAGAACAGAGCACATGCCAGGCCCTCTATTTGACATCACACACAGATACTCAGACTGGAATATTTATATCCTTCAGGGGACAGAACAAAACATCCAGTAGGGGGCCTAGCTAGCGCTCTACTCTGCTACTATTACTGCCCTCAGGGGAGTCCGTTCTTTAAGAGTTTCTGGCATTCTGCCAGTCTTGCTCAAAGAAGCTAAAACACAAACTAGAGAATCCTGTCAGATCAGAGAAGCAAAATTATGTGTAAGTAATTTTCTTATCTCTTAAAATATTTACTTGGAGATTCAGCAAAAACACTTAGTTCTTTTAGAAAGCCAAATCTCTGAGAGCAAGTTCTTTATTTTAAATTATATTCAGAGTCATCTCTAATGTGTGGTTTATGTGAGGTCAAAAAATTCAGTAACAAAAAAGCTCCATACCTATTGTGGTCATTTTTATCCTTACCAGGAATCCCAGAAATAAAAACAAATGTTTGAGCAAATCTTCATTTTTCAAGTACTCAGCTGTCTAGCTGCTGCTAGTGCTGCCATCTAAGAATTAGTCAAAACACACCAAATAAAACTGAAGGATCTATTATATCAGGGTACAATGACCTTTAAATGTAGATTTATGTAAAACTAAGTTATATTTCTAAAATGATGCAATAATCAACACAATTTGCTGTGTTAAAACTTGCAGTCCAACTAATACTATGCAATTAAAATTTAAACATCAGCCTCTGAACTGTTCTGACCATTTTTGAGTTACCACTGTGGACAATGATGGAAGGAATAAACAATAGATTCTCACTCACTTGGATTAATGACTGGGAAGCTCATGACCAACTTTTCCTAATTAGCACAATTTTTTTAAAAGGCGATGGAATTGGAAAATGTAATTTGCTAATTTATTTTATATGGATAGTTTGTTTTTTTAATATTTCACAATATGGATGTATAAATAAATGTTCTCTATTATATTTAGTAAAAATGCAGAAGTCTTTCTGATGAGATGAACTACAGTTCTCTGCTATTAAAACTTTACATTATGGATTATGTGGAGGGAGGTGTCAGTTTTGTGGCTGGGGCTTTTTGTTTGTTTTGCTGTAATACTATTTATAATGTATTAATTTTGGCAGTTCTGCTACTTAATTCAGCAGGTAGTCACATTTTAGAAAATTTCTTAGTTCTAAACTTAGCTAAGCCTCTCACTCAAACTTTGTCATTTATCTTCCTTTTTAGCCACGAAGACATCCTTCTGGCTCATCAGTGATAATGTCTACTAATCCACATTCCTATCAGAAGAGGTCTTTGCTGCATTTACCTGACAGTGGTCTGGGTGAAGAACAAAGTGCCAGCATCTCTCCCTCTAATGGAGTGGACAGACGAGCAACCACACTATACAATCAGTTCACATCAAAGAATGATGAGAATAGGTAAACTGACTAATTGCTGGGTATTACTGAAACCTCATTTTCAGGAGGGAAGTGATTTACAAGAATGCATCACTGCTGTGTGTCATACTCCAGGGAGTCAAACAGGTGATAGAATAATGATGAAAGTAGTGTAATGGTGCATATATCTGCCCTAGAAGTAAAAAAGTAGAATCTTCCTAGACATGGAACTCTTTGCTGCCTTTTTACTGTTTCTTCCAAAGTTTTTAATTCTACTTAGTTGCTTTTTTTGTTCTTCTATCTTAAAAAATATTTTGGGTGAATTAGGTGTTCGTACAAATGAGGAGTTAATAGTGCTGCTGAGAATCAGGGATGAAGGGAGAAGATATCACACAAACTTCCCCCTTAGGTCTGCTATCTCAGTCCTGACCTGGGCCTTCCTTGAGTGCGGACACTTCTCCTCATATCAAATTGGGTGACAGTTTAGTCACATGGGTAAATGGGAGATAGGACAATATCATCAAATTCATTTTTATTTGTGCCTTAATCCAGGATTTGAAACCAGTTGTCCAGAGGTGCTATGGTAGTGCATTAGACCACTGTACTATCTAGACAATTATTGAATAATTTAGCATTTGGCCATTAAGAAACTTTAGCCTATAATGCGCACAGTCAGAATAATCTTACTGTTAATACACAAAAACAAAACAAAGCATTTGAAATGAGGCAGCCATAGTATCTTTAAGTCTGCTTCAGTGCCTGGACACAGTGGGAAATTATGGTGCTGATCAATGGCTCCACAGCCCCAAGTGATATATCTTCTAAGTGTTTAAAGTTGATTTTTAATTCTGTAGTGAAAGCGGTTCCTAAATAGTTAAAGACCAATATATGCCTTATGTGCCATGGTATTGAGGCTATTAAATCAACATGTACGTAGTAAACCTTTTTGGTGATATACATATGCTCCTTCTGTTCAAGGTCTTTTGAAGGTACACTTTACAAAAGAGGAGCTTTGTTAAAAGGTTGGAAACCTCGCTGGTTTGTACTGGATGTGACAAAACACCAGGTAAAACATTTTTAGCAAACTGGATTTTTATGTGAATAACTTATTACAGTTTTACTCAATAAGCATATAGAAATAGTTTGATTAGTACAATAGTACAAGAAATCATAAAATAATAGAAATGTAGGGCTGGAAGGAACCCTGAGAGTTCATCAAGGCTGAGGGATTCGGAATGTGGGAGGGAGCTGCGGGTTGAGGCAGGGCGTTGGGGTGTGGGAGGAGTTAGGGCTCTGGACTGGAGGTGCTGGCTCTGGGGAGGGGCCGGGGATGAGGGGTTTGGGATGCAGGAGGGGGCTCCAGGTTTGGGAGGGCTGGGGCACGGGGGTGGGGCTCGGGGTTGCTGCGTGGGCTTACCTCGGGTGGCTCCCAGTCAGCAGTGCAGCGGGACTAAGGCAGGCTGCCTGCCTGTCCTGGCTCTGTGATGTGCCCCAGAAGCAGTCAGCAAGTCTGGCTCCTAGGGAGGGCAGGGCATGAGGCTCAGCAGCACGCGCTGCTCTCACCTGCAGGCACTGCCCCCCCAGCTCTGCCAATGGGAGTTTGGAGCCCCGTACCCCCCCCCCCGGCCTAGGAGTCGGACCTGCTGGCCGCTTCCAGGGCACCAGCGGTGCCCTAGGACAGGTAGGGACTAGCCTGCCTTAGCTCCGCAGCACTGCCAACCAGACTTTTAACAGAGCCGCCAGAGTCCCTTTTTGATTGGGTGTTCCGGTCGAAAACTGGACACCTGTCACCTGGTCACCCTAGTTGGGAACAAAATTAATTCAATCATCCCTGTCCAAACTGTAGTAGTTATTATACATTCCAAGCATGCATTTTTTTGACTCGTTCATTCATTCTTGGAGCACTTTCCTTTCATATTTATTTTCATGAAGCCTATCCTATGCAGATAAATTGGAGTCCAGTATACATTGTAGATTTATCAATCTGGATTGCCATAATACAAAGGTCCATTAACCTATTATCAATGTTTATAATGCAACGACCCACATATGATATAACTTCACTGGAATTTTTTTGCCTAAATATCTTCAGATCATGAGAACCAAAAGTGAAATCCTGGCCCCACTGAAGTTAATAGGAGTTTTGTCATCGATTTCAGTGAAGCCAAGATTTCACCCACAAAGTTTATTTCTAAAGTCCCCTGAAATTCCAGTTCTTGGTATAACAGCCATTTCAGACAGACGTGTATGGAAAACCTTTGGTCTGTCTTAGTGAAGTCTGTCTTTACTGGTTTCAGTACATTGAGTAGCATGACCATTCATGTATATACTAACAAATTAGTGCACAGGAGGAAAGCACAGAAAATCTGTTTACTGCTTTAGACATTGAACCCTGCTTGCAATGCACACCCAATTCAGTGATGGCACTTACGGCCTAATGAACTTTAAAGAATGTTGGTCATTATCACACAAGCCTTTACTAATGCAAATAGACCTTATTTACATAAATTGCCTCAGGGGTGCATAACTAAGGACTAGCTTTTAAATAGCCAGTAGGGCCTTGTCCATAGAAGAAAATTGTGATAGAAAATGTTAGTTAACAGGTTTTACTTAACACAATGTTAAACATTATTTTCTCCTGAGTGTGGACAAGGGTAGTCATCTTTAAAAATGTTAACTAATTGTGATTAAAACTGGTGTCCCTCCATGCACAAGAAGACATACTTTCTCCCAGTATGTTCAAGGTGTTCCTCTTTAATATTTTAATTGTTTCTATAGCCAAATCTCCTAGGGAACATTGTTCATGAAAGGGAGACATATAAGGGTACGTCTTCATTACCCGCCGGATAGTAATCGATCCCCGAACGCGCTCCCCGTCGACTCCGGAACTCCACCAGAGCGAGAGGCGGAAGCGGAGTCGATGGGGGAGCCGCGGCCGTCGATCCCGCACCGTGAGGACCCGAGGTAAATCGATCTAAGATACGTCGACTTCATCTACGCTATTCTCGTAGCTGGTAGCTGAAGTTGCGTATCTTAGATCGATTCCCCACCCCTCCCCCAGTGTAGACCAACCCTAAGCAATATCGGGCGGGCAACAGAAGGAAGTAAATCTGATTTGGAAGGACTCCATTTTCCCTTTCCTTTAAGAAAGGGTTTGTCTTTACTTCTTGCATCCAGTGTGCAAGGGTGGATTGTTGTTTTTAATATGCAAATACCAGATTTTCTTTTGTGGAATTGTTTGAATACTGAAAGTAATTTAGTGGAGTGGTTATCATTGAAACCACAGTGTCTTTGTAGAAAAGCTGCATTAAACCACTAAGTATAGTATAGGAAAATGTCAGTTTTATATGTAATCTGTAATTACCTAAATTATACCTGAGTTTTTGCTGATCGCTTTCCATTTAAAATACAGGAAATAAAAACTTTTGTTAACTCTTTGGTGCAAAACATGTTCGTTAGTTTCCAAGCAATGGACAGGGGAGTATTGTGTCAGGATAGGCTGAATCCTCACATCAGAGTCGTTCCCTGGGGCAGCTTCACACTTGTCCCATAGTGCAAAGCTGCCATAAAGGCAGCAAGTCTGGCCACATGAGGATTCCCGCAGTTTGGACAATCACAAGATGGGATATTGCTACTGTAGGAACTCCTTTGCTAATTCCAAAATTCCCAATACAAGCTGTCGCTTGGACATGCCTACTGCCTGGTGATGCCAGCTGTTACACTGTCCATTTGTAGTCATAAGCAGTTTGTTCAGTTTATAGCAGATCTCAGGCTTTTGCAAGTGGCTCCTCAAAACCAGCCCAACATCCAGTGCCCCACAGTGAGGGCACACAAAGGAGGCTTAAAAGAACTTTTTGTTCACTCTCAAAACCCCAGAAGCTGTGCCAGGTACAGAAAGGACGAGCACAAAGGATCTGGCCCCAAATAGTGCATTTGTCTGTGTATTGGTTTATATATTGCATTTGGTTGGTTGGTTTTCCCTTTTGTGTTCTAGCTGAGGTATTATGATTCTGGTGAGGACACAAGCTGCAAGGGACACATTGATCTTGCAGAAGTCGAAACAGTGATTCCTGCATCTCCAACAATTGGCGCACCAAAGCATGCTAGTGAAAAAGCATTTTTTGATGTAAGTATACTTATTCTTTGCTGGCCTTCATTAGAGATTTTTCTTCCTTTGTTATGTTCTTCCTATCACAGCCATTCCTGCTGGATGGTCACTTGAGAGATTTCAAGTTAACTAACTATCAAGGGAAGTTGCACAACTAACCAGTGATCCACATTCTCAACCCAAAGTGAAAATTCTGAACATTAGTATATTCAAGCAAAATGAAACGCTTCAGATATCAAAGCTTAAAAGAAAGTTTGCAAGTTCCTGAGCTGTATCTTCTAAGTTTATTTTTCTATCTTATACACTTTTATTTTCATTTTGCAGCTGAAGACAAGTAAACGTATGTATAATTTCTGTGCCCAAGATGCACAGAGTGCACAGCAATGGATGGACAGGATCCAGAGCAGTATTTCAGATGCATAACAGAGAATACCATTCCACTGCCAACTGCAGAAAAGAAATGCTTTCAGCACTTCATGTTGCAAGAAGATACATTTTGAAATGCTATTACAGAACAAGCAACCTTCCTTTCATTTCAGTCATAAATACTCAGTATATGCTGAAGCATCTTCTCTGTTTAAGTATTATAACCACTATAAGTACTCCTTTTCTCTTGCTAGGAGAACTTTTCAAATTAGTAATCTGTTTAGCCTGAAATATAACTCTTTTCAATATGATTCCTAGCTAAATGAGCCTGCTCTACACACTGAAATATGCTACCATCTAATACTGTTTTTCTAATCAGAGTTGCATCAGAAAAACTGTCTAGCTAGAATTGTGGACATTTTTCCTCAAATAGTGTTCTGTTTTCACCGAGTTTTAATATTTAAACAAAATGGTCCAAATTTTCAAGCTAGTTGTGTATCTGGAAGAACATTTCTACAGTTTCTAAGAAAAGTTTAGGTTTGTGAATTCAGTGACATGCATAGCAGATTGGCAAATGTCAATTAATATTTTTAAAGACCAAAAATCAAAACCTTAATTTTCAAAAAAAGGTTTCTTCTCAAATCTACTAGCTGCTCTCTAACCTCTTGCTCTAAAACATGCTTCTGCAATTTTACTGTTAATGTATGGCATTTCAAGTTCCCACTGTTTAGCTAAAGAATATGCTTTTTGGGTATTCTATTTGCCCATTATAATAGGATAATGGAAAGAAAACTGGCTGATAATAACAAGAAGAAACTGGTCACAAATTAAGACATTTATAGGAGAAAAATCTGAGTATGAAAAGTTGTATATGTTTATTTATGTTCTGTTCTGCTCACTGTAAAATAAAAAATAACAAACACAATGATAAATGCACTAAACAATAAAGCAAACACTTGCACTGAAATAGTTGAAATGCAGACATTTTGCGGGACAGAGGTAAGTTATTTATAGCAGAACAATGCTAGCTAGATAACCTTTACAAATACTAAATGTGTACATAATTTGGTTTGATGTGATTTGATACTTTAAAAACATTTTTGCACATAAATTGGAAGACTGTTTTAGATTTTGACATTTAGTAACATTGTGTTTGTTCATCTTAAAATCTTTGAGGAATGTTGTTGGGTTATTTTTATATATAGCCCAAAATTACTAGAGGTTTTATTTGCTACAGTTTGTGATGACATGGAGTGGAGTCTTTAGATAAAAACCATTGTGAGGTTTTTTTAATGTTAATATGTTAAATATCCAACTAATATTTCATAGAGTTTGTATATATGATTTGGTATTTTCTGATTTTTTTCCAGACATTCTGCTTATAATTGTTAATATCAGACTAACCTAACTGATTTCATTTATAGGATTTCAATTATTAAATAGTTTGTCACCTTTTTTTAACCACTTTTCATTTTTTGACTAAATAATATTCAATTTCACACTGCACACAGAATAGGAAATGCAGCTGTTTTAATACATATGGAATTTTTTTAAAGAAATGAAGGATTTTTTTTAGCATTTTCAACTGATAAATCTCCACCTGTGAAAATGGTGTTTGCACATTTGTATTTTTCTGTGTATATGAAGTACTTTTATATGTACTTTGTAAAATACTGATCCCACTGTTTTTAAGGTTATTTGAAAATGTACACAACACATCTTATTTTGTAACTAGGTTATTTTAACTATTTTATGTATGTTACATGACTTATGTATGCTAACCATCTTGTAATAAATACACTTCTTTTTTAAAAAAATCCTTCCTTTACTGTGAAAGATTATATCGGTATAGTGCAATACCCACAGAATAAAGATCTTATTATATCTTGTACCATAACACAAAATCCCAAATTACCTGGTATTAAAATGAGTGGGGTTTTGTATATATTCCTATACAAAAAATGCACATTGAGAAACCTTAGCTAAAAGTTAAACATCTATCAGCAAAAATGCTATAAACCGAGGAAATTTGAATTTAAAGCAACAGTATCATCCATAATTCAGTCTCAATTTACATACCTTTCCCAAAGACCAAACACATAATTATTGCACTTAGTCATTAAATAATATTAGGTATAAAGAAACCAGAACCTTACTGCACAGTTTCTCAACACAACTCTGCCATATGTCAAAGCCATATATCTTACTTATTTATACAATTTTATATTTAAATTAACTGGTTTATAAGAAATTAAAAGGTCAGAGTTGAAAATGTGCATCTGAATTTGGTCCTTATTTACTGGATGCGTATGTATTTGTGCAGGAGTTGGAATGGAAAAGGAGTGTTATAGAGGTGAGCAGTCAGTGACTCTAGTTGGGTATTGTGAAGGTTGGGTGGTAAGATTTGTAAATTGAGTTTGGTGTGGCTATTAAGGTTTCTTAAAGTGTTGATCTCAGTTTTTAGCATCTGTGTCGATGGAAAATGCACTTAACTCAAAAAATTCTAAATAAAACACAATAAGTTTTAAGTATAAATGTCAGTTTAATGTTGGATGTGGTTAAAGGGGAGGGCATGAAGGGTGGTAGTCCTGGGAGCATAGAAGAGGCAGGGTCAATGGATGTTGGTTGTTGGCCTCAGCAAGAGTCAAGAAAGAGAGGAGTTGGGGGCGGGGGCAGGGTAGTAGATATGGTGGTGTTGATGTAGCATAAGATTTGGGAGCCATGGAGCTGGTGGAGGATAGCAACAGAGATGAGTAGGCAAAAGGGAGTGTTGAGACACAGTGACACAGGCTATGGAAGCCTCTCCCCACAGTGGGCAGAACTTCCCTTTGCTGAGGGAATCCCCGACTGTTCTGTGGGGATTCCCAGCACAAAGAAACCCACCCAGGCAGGAGGAGAGTTCACAGCACTTTCCTATGGAAGAGCACCTCCTCTGTCATGCACCATCAGTACTCCCCTGATACGAACCATTAGAACCCTGCCCATTGGAGAAGGGAGACGTATTATCAAGGGTCATATATAAAGTGCTGGGGGTAGCTTGCCCTCACTTCTTCTCACTGACACCATCTCCCATAACAAATGATAGGGTGACTTACTTTTTGAAAAAAAGATGTTTAGAATATGTGAACATTGATACTTGAATGTCATATTACCAATGTCATGGTAATATTTGGTTCAATAAAAGATATTACCACATCCACCTTGTCTTTCTCATATTACTAACCTCTCCTTCACATCCAAAACACAATGGGGGTTGGGAGATAGGGTTATAGAAACCCTTAATAATAAAAATAAGCAGTCCCATTTTATGGAACTTCAGATTTATGATCAATAATTGGAATCCCAAACTTCTGGGTCAGTACTTATGTAATAAAAATATAAACAACTATCAGATGCAGGGCCAGATGTTCAAAATCTGGCATCACATTCTGCACTCCTAATTGTTTGTATCTGATACTTTAACAACACCACACAAATCTTGTGATTCTGTCCAAATATGGTTCTCTTGCCTTTTCCTCTTGCAATGTCCCTGGACTCTGTGTAAGGACTCTGAGCCATATCTCTCATTTTTCACATCCATGATCATCCAAATATTTAGCTGTTTATGATCACCCTGAGGTTGCTTTCAAGAATCAGACTGCTCACATGGATGCATCAGTTCCCCAGTTAATGCTAAAGTTCATGTCGAGTATCACTATTGCACCTGCTTTCTGGTTGTTGCCGATGTGGTGTTGGTTATTTCCAGAATTTTGGCCACTGTGTGAGCCAGAGTCTAACTTGGTGTCCATGTTCTCATGCAGCACATTCTCGTTTTGTTTGTGTGCTGAATTTCTTCCTTCATTCAACAGCCAAATGAAGACACTCCGAAGTAACAATTTCTTCTTCCTAATTCCTTTCTATGTTTGACTTTCCAAGATGGTAGAATATTGGTATACATGTGGCTCAAACATTAGTATGTCTTCATGTTTGATTTCAGACAGTACAGAAACCAATCCTTCTCCTTTACTTTGGATGCTAGTCTTGGGTATGATGTTAAACTGCATCCTCCGCTGCCTTGAGGATACTTCTTGGTTGAAGAAAGGCTAAGGGATCTCACCCCAACAGAAAAGGCGCTCACGCTGAAGCGATAGGCAGTTAGCAACTCTATTTAGGTTGCTCTCTGGCAGAAGCTACCACCTCTGTGTCACTGCACGTCCAGACTCGCTCTGGGCTTTGGATTCTGGCTCAGTGGTTTAAAGGGGGGATGACAGATCTATGGCAGCAGCTGCTCCTCCATAACTTTTCCTGGGCGTATGCACTGAAGATCTTGACAAGATGGTTGCAGGGATCCAAGAAAGGCATAAGGGCCGTGGGGCAGCTACCCTGTGCATTAGTAGAGAAGGATTTGGTGCTTTCATCCACGTTTGCAGATTGAACAGGAAGTCATTGAAATGTTTTCCAGTAAATGAATGTGAAAGGAACAAAATGCACTTAAAAATGGAGCATTTCCCTTTAGCATTAATTTTGTTCATGTTTTTCAGCAAACCATGGTTCTGCCTTCCCCCTATTTTATTTTCCTCCCTCTTCCCCCAGAGCCTTTGTTGTTTTTACTCCCCCGCCTCCAAAACCTTTCTGTCTTAGCAATCATGTGGTTGTAATATAGTGTGATTAGTGTCTGTGTACTACTGCACTTTAGTGACTGACCACCAAAAAACAGAAGCCCTACTTACTACTGAAAGCTAAAAGCCTGACCCTTTGGAGCTAATGGAACAAAGTTCTAACCTAGATGCCACATATCTGTGGTTTACCTGGCAACCACAATGTATATGCAGTCATTAATATGTGAAAACTATCGTTGCAGCTGACGGTCATGGCTCTCATCTAAGCCCTATTACTGCCACTCCTGAGAAACCCAGAAGGGTCTTTCCAGAGCAGTGAGAGACTCTCTCACCTATGGTCTAAGTACGCTCCCTCTACACAGTTCCCAAACCCTGATAGAATAGGAGCAAAGGACTAAAGATGAGATTGAAATACAGGTTCACCCATGTAATAGCTAATTTAATTTACTGTTAGATCTCCATGCAGACCCCGCAACTTGACGTTTACACTATTAAGAACTGAAGTAATATTCCACATTTCTAGCCACTGCATTAGTCTCATAAATGCTCTTTTGTTTTAACAGTGCCCCGACAGCAGCTTGATCTTTGTTCTAAAATAATAATTGCTGACAGTTTCTAATCTGAAGTCATGTTTTGTCCAGTCTCCTAGTATAGTGCCTTCTTTTACTTGGAGCATATTGAAAATGTTCTTGCATTGAGGGGAACAGGTGATATGTTCCTTGAGCTATTTTCCAGTGCCTGCTCTTTGATGCCGATATTTCTTGTTTGTGTGTCCTCCAGGAGACATTTTCAGTTCCTTTCCTTTTGTCAGTTTAATAAGAAGTGACATGATAAAAATTGGTGGTGATCAAAAGGCTACAGTATATCAGTTTGGCAAGAGATGGGATTTTATGGTATATAGTTGTACTTGGCTATTCATCATGTGATGCTTTCAGTAGAATTCCCCCTCTCCACCCCACCAAAGAGCAGAAAGAACAGTCTCAAATAAAGTAAGATTTATGTAAGACAAGACAACTATTCCAGATTGTATAATGGTACAGTAGAATCTCAGAGTTACTAACACTTTGGGAATGAAGGTTGTTCATAACTCTGAAATGTTCGTAACTCTAAACAAAAGGTTATGTTTTTTCTTTCAAAAGTTTACAACTGAATATTGACTTAATACAGCTTTGAAACTTTACGATGCAGAAGAAAAATGCTGCTTTTAACCATCCTAATTTAAATGAAACAAGCACAGAAACAGTTTTCTTACCTTGCTAAATCTTTTTTTAATTTTTCCCTTTATTTTTTTAGTAGTTTACATTTAACACAGTACGGTATTTGCCTTGAGGGGGAGGGGTGTCTCTGTTGCTGCCTCCTTGCATACTTCCAGTTCCAAGTAAGGTGTGTGGTTGACCGGTCAGGTCATAACTCTGAGGTTCTACTGTATTCTGATTTGTTATTTAACAGATCTCTTTCTTGTTGTTCAACTCAATATTATCACAGCAAAACCTTTATTTAAAGCCCTCTTCTGTTAAGCCACTACCTTCCTTAAATGACTACCCCAACAGTATTCCCCAGCATTTCTACTGTTCCAGAACCTGTATTAAGAGATCCCCTCTCCACCACAATTAACCCCTGCCCCCCGAGTTGATCCTGGATGCAGCATCATGCTTTTATAGGAAGACTGAACAGCTTTGGATTTCAACACTCATAAGGAACATACAGTTTATACACATTGATTCTGCAAACATTCACACCAGACATGCCAAACCCATGGAAAAAATGCAGAAATTGGGCTTGTTTTTGGCTTAATTGGCTTGTGAGTTGGCTAGTTTTTGGCTTGTAGCTTTTTGCTTGTTGTAGCTTGTTGCTTCTTTTTTTTTTTTTTTGGATCGGCTCCCGGCAAGCGGGGGCAAGGGGGAGAGAGAGTCAGGGCATGTTTCAGTACCACGAAAGCAGCTGACTTCCCTTCCTTATCTAAACTGTTTGATAAAATTTGTCAAAATTAACTTGACTTTAATCTTCACTTCAGACTCCTGACTCAAATTAAAGCCTCCAGTCTCTCTCCTTTTGTGGTATGGGTATGCAGCAATGCCTGAAAACCTGGAAAATATCCCATCAAGAGATAATGCACCAGTGCCAAGAACAAACTGAAGAGTTAGTTATGGTATGTAAAAGTCATGTCATTGACCACTGTGTGTGTAATGTA